TTTGTACTATATCAAATTAAGGCTAATAAAAACCAACTGGCATTGTCACCAAAGTTCAAAAAAAAAAAAAAAAAAAAGTTATAAACTATATGTTAATCATCTGATTTAAAAAGAGCATGCCTATGGGCATGAGAAGCATGTCTTAGCTCAGAGGCATGCCCAATTTTTTTTTATGTCCTGAACTCTATACAACATATATATATATTTGTAAACATAATTATTAACAATTTTGAAATTTGAGTTATATTACAACAAAAATATTGCAAAGATACAAATTATGAATATATAATACAAAAATAACATTAAAAGTATAATTATTTTTTTTTTCACTTGAGCAGTTTTGTTAGTCATCTTTATTATATGTTTTGCATTACATATATACAAATTATTGTATAAATTCTGATCTAACATCATACAAATGCTTCTATAAGTCCTTACAAGTTATCTGCTTGCACTGACTGTCTAATTTCAAAAGAAATTAGAGTATGTTAGAAGCTGTATCTGACTACTGCTTTACAATAAGATGTTGCCAATCTGATAACATTTTTTTATAGAAAAATAAACAATAACAAAAAAAAAAACTTATATAGAAAAAAAATACAGAGATATAGGAATAAACAATAAAAGATACAAATGCAAGAAATAAAAAAGAAAAAGAGAAGAAATAAGAAAAAAAGAAAAGATATGTGTGACTCTTGCTACATGACTATTAGATAATCACAATTATAAGCCTGTATCAGGCTTTTAAAAATTATAAACTATACTAAATAGAATTAACTTTACTATTTTTCTATTTACTTAAAATATATAAAAAAAACTATATAGGATAAATTTTTAACTTGAATGTAGAGAGGTAGCATAGAATACAGGTTAGTTCAGAAGCAGTATTTTATGAGGTTTTAGCAGTTTGAGGCATATGTATAAGTCATGTTTGTATTGTTATATTGTTTTCAATCTATATAGTAACAATTCTGTTTAGAAAGTAAATACTGATAACTGTTTTGGTGATTTTATGTATCAATCTTTTAGAAAAAGTAAACTAAATCACCCACTTTTACAAAATTTTTCTCAAAAAAAAGTAAGGGTCAACAATTTTTATATGTAGTTCTTCAAGCAAGTTTTACAGTTGTATAGTAGTTGCTTCAAGTTTTCAATAGTCTTGGCTTGGATTTTTCATAATTGTTTCTAGAATACCCTTCTAGTTTAAATGCTGTATAGAAAGAAAAGTCTACCAAGAAGAAAAGCTTGACCTCTCTCTAAACAACCGCAAAAACACCTGCTCTTCAGTGTTTCATGTCTATTTTGGCTTCATTAACAACAATCTACTTTACATAGAATCAAGAGTATTTTTTTTCTTAATCTTGCTATAATGTTTTTCTTTAGTTCAGTTTGTTGTTGTTGTTGACCAAAAAAACATTGAAAAGAGTATGTTATTAAAAGTGTATTAATCACTAAAAATTTGTAAAAATATTTGGTTATTAAATAAAGATATATTAAAAATAAAATTTTAAATAGTTACCTTTTAGATATTTAATAAACTCAACTCATTGTTTTTTATAAAAATTCTTTAATCATATAATTGTAATATCATCTATTAAATCTAATATTGTTTAATTGTTGTTAAGTGTTTCTAATAACTCAACTAACTATAGTTTAGAAGTTGTAAATATTTAAAGTTTTCTAGCTAATATATTTTTAAAAAATCTAGACATTTAAATTGTTATTTTATCAGATTTAATTGTTTTTTTATTTGTTTTATTAATAATTTGTTAAACTTGTAAATTACATTAGCAGAATGAATATATGAAATATTATGAAAGATTTTGCATATCAAAATTTTTTAAAATAACTGTGATTGATATAAAATTATTGAAATAAAATATTTTTACAATATTGCAAAAGAAACAAAATAATTTCAAAAAAATTTTAACTATTTTACAAAATTTTAAAAAATAATAAATCTAAAATATAAAAATATATTTTAAAAATAATTTAAAATATTGTCAACTATTGATATAATGAAAATTTAGACTGGCCAAAAAAATCTGTTATATAGCATGTTCGTTATATTTATATAATAGTCTATATAACTAAATTAAGCTAGAATCTGTTATAAAGATATTGTGTAATACATTAATAAATCAAATAAGCATAGTTATTTATTATAGCATTCTAAGTACACTTTTTATAGATGCACACCTTTAAGTTTACACTTAGCTTAGTCTACTTAAAACTTAGTGCTAAATGCACTTTATTAATCTTTGCACATATATAAGTTCTGGGACTGAGCATATGTATATATCTTTTATAAATATATACAGAATTTTATACCTGTGCCAAATGCATACTTTTGGAGGTATCTTAAAACCAGGCAGATTATATAATAATCAGCAAATCAGATTGTTAAAATTTGATAAACCTGAATCAAAGCAAAACAAGTGAAAAAAAGAAAAAAAAGTAAAAAATATTAAAAACAGTAGTTAAAACTCATCTTAATGCATTAAAAAAATGTCAGAAGGTAATTTTGCTTATATTAATACCTTTAATTCTAATCCAAAGTGGCTCTAACTCTAATATTAATGAAAAAACAGCATAACACATAATTTGCTAAACTTTAAGGACCTCTACTTTTGGTTCTAAAGAGGGCATATATTAATTATTTGTATTTTTTTATTTCAGTTTGCTAGTTAAATTTTCCATTTACATTTCTCTAAATGCATATATACACTTTAATCTCATAGGCATGCACTTATAAAAGTTTTATTGTACAATTTCAATCTAATAAAATGCAATTGTTGTAATTATATTTTAAACAATTTAAATTAAAATTAAAGTGGCACATAAATTAAACTTTAGTTAGACAAGTTTAACTAATATATTAAATAAAAATATAACAAAGCAAAAAAACATATATTGCCAAATTCCTATTTCTATTGCATTTTCTTAAAACCTCCAAATTCTTTGTTAAACTATATGAATCAAAGTGTATTCTAGAAGATCTGTACACCAAAAAAAGAAGATACATAGATCAAAAAAATGAAATATAAAAAAAAATAAAGTAAAAAAAATAAGTAAAAAAAAATAAGTAAAAAAAAAAAAAAAAAACATAAAATGCAAAAAAAAAATATTAAAAACACTTTGGTCTTCATTAAAAAAAGAACTCTATAATGTTAGCCTCTTCTTTTGCAAAGAGATGTATCTTGAAACTTTCTTTCTCAACAAATCGACAGTACTTTTATCCCTATTAGTTATAACAAAATCCTTAGGTTGTTGCAAAAGATACATTTCAACCAAATCAAGAGCTTTCAAAGCCTTATTGTCTGTAACTCTAGACATTGATAATGTTTCTTCTTGAAAGAAGCAGTCATTATTCTTATAAATAGCACAAATTATATTATCATCAGATAACATCTCAAAAGTAACATCAGTATTGATGTTCATAAATTTATTTGCATTCATAGGGTTATCAATTTTACCATTTATTAACAAATCAATTATCAAATTACCAAGTTCATCAGACTCACTTTTCAACTTTTGTTCTACCTGCTAGCATGCTCGATCTCTTTTAGCTACTTGGTATTATGAAAAATACCCATTTTCAGCTAGCAGTTTATAATTGTTTTCTGAATAACATTGTTTCATGCTTCAGAAGTAGCATTAATAGCATTAAGAATTTTAAAATCTTTAATTTCAGAACCTTTTATTTAATTTTGTTAAATGCTACAAGCCAATTTTTCATAAAAATATATTTATAGTAACATTTGAACAAATATATAATGCTGGCATCACATAGCTAAAGGTGAGCAGTAGTATTTTTTAGTATCTTTTTAATTCAAATATTGCTAAGCTTCTCTTGCTAGATATAGGTAGTACAATAATTAACAAAAAGAAGAATATAGTGGTTTTGAAGCCTTATTATTGCATTAACATAGTTTAACCAATTATTATATATAAAAACTTACATCTAGACTATTTCATTCTAATAGTACCAGACAAAAAGTCTTTTTTGTTAATATTTTGAAAAGGTTACAGATTTTTAAAGATATGAATAAACATGAAAGGAAGCTTCTCTGTATCTGTAGTATTTGCTGCTAACATTACAGTTATACATACTTTTTCTTTTTTATAGCCTAAAATGAGGTCTTGTGTAAAAGTTTTAGAAGAGTGCATCTTTTAGTAGAGATATGTTTCATCTGCATTTTATATGTTTTTTAGAATATTTTTTTCACAGATTTTTTAAAAACATTCTCTGTGTTGATTTAATATTTTTGTAGATAGGGAACTAGCAGCTTCATCATTTCTAGTATACTGATAAAGATCTAATTGCTTCTGAAATTATTGATCTAGCTAGTATCTTTAAAGTTAGAAATATTTAAAGCTATAATGAAAATCTTAGCTTTAGTAATAAGGGCAGTTTGAGTTAGATCCATATTTGCTACAAGTGCACTTTTGGTCCAAATATGCATAGCTTCATCTAATTTGAGCCACTTTGGCTAATAGTTATATATATGATTTGCCTTAGCTTTATTTGTTATATCAATATTTAGCTACTTAGAAGACTGCTTTTAACATTATATTTAGCAACTAGTTTATTATTAAGAATAGATGAAAACTTTAGTTTTTTTTTTACAAATCTTCTGTTTTTGTTCAGTAGTTAAATGTTTTCTTTTAACAAAAAGTGTGTTAACCTTTGTAACTAATTTTTTATTTTATTTTATTTTTTTTCTTTGAGCAAAAAAGATAAAATATATTGCATGTTAAAATCAAAAAAAAATTTTGAAAAAAACTTCTGAATAAAATCTGCACATATCTAAATTTATACTTCAGAAAGATAGGGCATCTGATCATTGATAATTCAGTAAAATGTGATAAAATTAGAGATAGAGAAAAAAAAAATATCCAATATCCAACCATGCTATTAAAGTTATTACAACTCTAGAGCTGATAGTTCTACTTAAGATTGAGCATAAGAATGTTGTTTTTTTAATTGTTTTTATAAGATAATATTAAAAATTGAGAAACATGCTTAAAATATAAAGTGAAAAAAAGTTACAAAGAAAAGTAGATGAAAAAAGGCACCTGAAAAAAGGAGGCAGAAAAAGGCACCTAAAAAAAGAAGGCAGAAAAAGATAACTGAAAAAGGTATGCATCAAAAGGTAACTAAGAAAGGTAAGCAGAAGATGGATGAGATAAAAACTAAAAGATAAAGTATTTGCATTTATAGTCTATATTATGTTATTGACGATATTTTGAAATGATCAGTTTATGAACAACATTGAAAAAAAAAATTAGAAAGAAAAAAAGAATTAAATAAATTAAAAGATTTATAAAAAAATAAAAAATAAAAAAATAAATTTAAGAAATAAAAAATATCAACTCTAAGGCTATACTGGAAAAGGCATTAATATATCATATTATTGTTCTTTATATACAAAATAGCATTTTCTTATCATTATTGTCTAACTTCAGAGTTGATGCAAAAAAAAAAGGCATTACAAAGTGAAGATGCCCCAAGCATCATTTTGCATTAATTACTGGTCATGTGTCAAAAATTTGCATTTTGATTGGTTGTCTAGTAAATGCTATTATATAATTAGACAAATTTCTAATAAAATTAGTATATGGGCTGACAGAGATTTCTATTATATGTAATATGGCTTTTTTATTATTAAATCTATTATAATGGTTTAAATTATATATAAAAAATTCTGTATCTTGTAATTAGTCTGTTAAACTAGTAATTCTGATCTAAAGATATCCATTATATTAATAGTTGACAGTATTTAGAAAAATTTAAAATATTTTGAAAATATCAAAATAATTTCAAAAAATTTCAAAATATTCAAAACCTTTTTGAAATAATTAAAAAATTTTAAAATAATTTTGAAATATTTTAAAAATTATAAAATAATTTTTATTGATAAATTTATTTTATTTTATTTAAAATATTGCTATTTATATATTTTATGATTTTTTTATTTAATCATTAACTAAGCAATTTAATTATTTTTAATTCGTATTAACTTTATTTAATTGATTTATATATTATATACAAATAAAAAAAAAAAAAAAAAAAAAGAAGAAATATTTATATAAAAATTTACAAATTGTAAAAAATTTCGAAGATATTCAAAAAGTTTCAAAAATCTGTAAAAAACAACTAAAGATGAATTAATAAATAAAACAAAAAAAACAAAAATTTTATTTAAATATTAAATTCCTATATTCTAATTTATTCAAATTTAGCTAACAAAAAAAGATTATTTGAAAATAATAAAAACAAATAAAAAAAGTTTATAATTCTTCTTTAATATCTTGATTTTTATTAGATAAATCTAAATTAAATATTAAAAATATTAGCAAATAATTTTAAAATATAACAAAAAATTGTGAAGATATTCAAAAATAAGCAAAAGTATATGAAAATATTTAAAAATTTTAAGAATTATAACAATATTTTTAAAATATTACAAATTAAAATAATAAAACAGTTGAAATTTAATAATTATACCTTTTTTTAGTTTTTTATTTATTTAATAAATTTTGTTAATTGACCAATTAGGCTGCTGGAATCACTGAAAGAAAAAAATATATAAGCATATCATACTAGGCCATCTGGATTGGAAGTCTAGGGAGTTGGTTAGTTTTGAGTTGCAGCTTGTAGAAGATAATAGAGAAGAAGTCAGAAAGATGGATACTAGGATTTATGTAAACTTTACAAAGATAATAGCAGTTTAAGGAGTAACCCTGATTGCAAGTATTAGTCTTGGCCATAGCATCAAACTAGGTTAGCAGTAAAAGAGAATATAGCTTACTCTGATAGATTTGCCTTAAGAATAAAAATAGTTTAAGGATTATAGTCCTATGGTTAAATGTGAACAGATCTGGGTCAGTGACTCAGTAAAATTAATATTAGAGATAGATTAAAGAGTTTAAATAGAACATCTAAGCAGAGGTGTTAGGTACAACAACTAGTAGAAAACCTTTGGATAGACTTCTTAAATAGATAATATAAAAAAGTTACACATGAAACCAGTTGTATACTCATCTAATAGTTCAATATAAATATGTCTGTATAAAATATATACTCGATATAAGTATTAATAAAAAGCTAAAACCAAAGAGGTCATCTTAATACTGAAAAAAAAATAAAAAAATAAATTTTGTTAATTGTAATTAATATTAATAATAAAAAAAGTATTTTAAAATAATACAAACTATTACAGAATCTTATAAAATATTTTTTTGTTTACTGTAGCTAGTTAGAATATTCTAGAAATATTTAGAAAGATAAATAGAAAAATATTTAATAAATTAATAATTGATAAAAAATATTTTTCAGAATATTTAAATAATCAATATAAAAATACCAATATTTAAATATTTAGTTATATATTTGATATATCTCAAAAATTATAAAAAAAGTTACAAATTATTAAAAAATCAAAATTATGCACAAATATATACAAATATTTAAAATATTTTAAATTAATTTCAAATACAAAACATAAAATTATACTATTTTGGAGTTTTCTAAAGTTTTTTGCTTTTTTCAGAACTTGATATATCATCCTTTGTGTCTGATGTTAAAATTTTTTTATTATTTTTTAATTTTTTCTAATAATAAAAATATTTTGGTTATATAAGTTTTTTTTTAGTTTTAAAAGTGATCTTGCTTGTATGGCTTTTTATTATTAGTAATATAAGATTATATATTATATACAGGGTATATTAATAAACACAGGTCAAATGAATAAATAAAAGATGAATAATAGATAAATAATAGAAAAAAAATTTGCCATTATTTTACCCTATATCTGCCAAATAATGGCAGCATAATAGCAACATAATAGCAGAATAACAGTAAAATAACAGAAGGTTTGTCAATATAAATAATATAATAGTAACATAATAGCAAAATAATAGAACTGTTTTATTATTTTACTTTTAGTTACAAAGACTAAAAGTAAAATAATAGAAATGTTCTATTATTTTGCTATTATATTACTATTATGTTATTCATATTGACAAACCTTCTGTTATTTTATTGTTATTCTGCTATTATGTTACTGTTATACTGCTATTATTTGGCAGATATAAGGTAGAATAATAGTAGAATTTTTTTTGTTATTTACCTATTATTCACTCTTTATTTATTTATTTGATCTGTAAAAAGTACAACTAGTTATATATATAATTTTAGTCATTATTTAATTAAGGATTCTGTTCATAGGCTATCTACTAGATGTTATATCTGAGACTTATCTATGAGTTCCTATTTAAACTTTCTGATTTTCAATACTTTACTGCATATATACACAATGTATATTACTATTATCATGACAGAACAGATTAGGGCTATCTAATTACTATTTATATCTAAATACTACCTTATTAGATATTACTAAGTATCTATAGTCCTTTAAATTTATTCTTAATACAAACTTACTAAGTATGCTACTAAGATTATTCCTTAGATTTATCTAACTTTAGTAGATTCTATAACTACTAGAACTGATTTGGTGCCAAAAGTGTTCGAATTTCAGTAAGTTCATTTCTTTTTTATAGTTTTCTTTTATATTTATCATATTATCTGCTAGTGCGACTTCTCTTCATTTCTGATATGTTCAATACTTTTCTCA